CCAGGAACAGACGTCCAAACATTTTATTGAAGCACTGGAACGAAAATACGCACAAATTACAAACTACAGACACAAATACCTGTGGAGTAATAGTATATAGGCAGGTATGGTATACAAAATGAATATGAGTGTAAATCATCATTGGTAACTTTATTCCAACGAGAACAATGAGGCAACGAGATAAATATTCAGCAATGTCCCTGCATATGTTTTGCTTCTTACTTCTAATGTCTAATTTTTTTCATGATGTGTTGCAGATTTCCGGTGTAGAGCTAGTTATCTTCCTCCTTCACCACAACTTAAACAACCTTTACGACCAAGACAAGGTCGTTGTCATGGGTGACTGTTGCTATGTGAACCCAATGGTGCGCAGGACTGTCCGTTTCCTTGGTAAATTCAAATATATAAATGAGCTTCAATCTTAGTGAGGACACGCATAGGCATTATGCATTCCCTAGCCCCTTACCCTAACCTTAACACACCTGCTTTGTGTGTGTGTATTTGTCTATGTTTCATCTGATCTATGTTTCTTCTGCAGGTGTGTATGTCTTCGGCCTGTTCACGACAGACATCTTTGTCAACGCCGGTCAGCTGGTCACAGGAAGTCTGGCTCCTTATTTCCTGTCTGTGTGCCAGCCCAATTACACTGCCCTCAGCTGCCAAGACACAGCGCACTTTGTCAGCCAATCAGACGCCTGTACTGGTGACCCTGATGACATCATGAGAGCCAGGAAGACGTTTCCCTCCAAAGAGGCTGCACTGAGTCTGTACACAGCAGTTTATCTGGCAGTGAGTAGCTCACAGAAGATCATCTACACCACTGCTAACAACAGTAGAGCCTCACCTTACTGTATAACCCTGATCTTTAACAGTGTCACTGAAATACTGGATTTGTTTACAGATGTACGTCATGTCCTGCATCGGTACCAGCGGAGGTCGACTGACAGGCCCCCTCCTCAGTCTGTCATTGGTCAGTCTGGCTGTGCTGACAGGCATCAACCGAGTGGCCGAGTACCGAAACCACTGGAGTGACATTATAGCGGGACAAGTCATCGGGGGAGCCATCGCTGTCTTTCTTGTCAGTTGTGATTCATCCCAATTTTACTTGTTTCTCAGTTTGTCCTGCTCATGTGTTTTCTCATTCATGTCCATTGGTTTGCTGGTTACCTTAGTGTTGTACAATACATCTTCCTACGATGAGATATCATTGTAGGAAGATGATGATCATGAAAGTTCTGTTTAGGATTAGCTCAACATTCAGCACACGCAGGAATTCACATACATTACCAGCTGACACCCAGGGACAGTAAATGACAGCAGGTCGGTCCTGCTCATAATATTCTGTTAATTCTTTGAAATTAAATCACTGTACTGGTTTAAAATAAATTACTCACGTCCCTTCATTTTATATTTGTGAGTAGTTTTATGGAAACATATATTTCACATCTATTCAGATGGTCTGACCACCACTCTGCAGCTTTACATCATTAACGTCGGAGTTGGCCAAATATATTTTCTTTCCCTTTATAATGGACTAAATTGCTGCAGGACACATGCAGCCTGTGTGTTGTTGTTGCTCCAGTGAGTTTGAATTCAAGTCCTGGCTGGCAGAAGAAGCTGGGTCACAGAGGCATCAAACCAAAAAACGCTGAAGGCCCTTCTCCCTCCCAACAAAGATACCCCAGAAATAAAAGTACTCTAATAGACGTCATGGTGTGAAGTTGACTTGTTTGTTGTGTCATTCCTTGCCAATGACTGTCTAGATTTATTCTAGACCAAATGATGTTACTATGATTAGTGTCTCTGACTCTTTCTCTCTCGACAGGTGGCGTTTGTGGTACAGTACTTTAAGAAGAGACCTCTGATTCCTCAGAGTCCTTCTGACGCTGGCACATCTAACACCGATGAGGCTTCACCTCAAACTGATCACAACATGGAAACCTCTGGCAAATATAATCCCGCACAGGTAAAGTGAGAGCATTACATTTATTTTTACATTTGCATGATTTGGTTTTCATGTTCGCAATGAACATGTGCACAATATACCATGCTACATGAAAACTTTTAGGTTCATATTTGCTGATTTTCTGAAATGAAAAAAATGCAGGTTAAAATGAGTTTA